ACTTCTGAAGTGCTTCCTATCAGTTACTTCATAAATTAACCAAGGCCACATGAAATACGCATCCCGCGAGTCAGCGGTCCGATCATCCACTCCCTTAACTAGGTGCCCACTGGAAGAATTATCAGCCCCAATATACTCACAGAAAAATACAGCACTGTCAGGGACCAGACTTTATTTTTTAGTCAAGGTGAAGGGAAAAAAAGAGAAGAAAATAAAAAACACACTCAGTCAAACCTACTTACATGAACAAATAATTACTTACTTGAATTTGATGGTGGAACTGCTCTTGTTGGGCAGCTATTTGTTCTTGACATTGTTTTTCTACAAGTCTGAATAACTGTAACCACCTTGTCTATTAAAACATAAAATAAAATAATTAAGGCACAATCATACAGCATCTCTTAACTTTTCTCCAGCCATATCATTATTCAATCTTATCTTTAGATGCCAATGTAATATAAATCTTAATAATGGCACTCTAGTTATCCACCCTACAACACACGCAAAGCCCAACCATATCACTGAAAGGAAACTGAGAGAAAAATAGTAACAGAAGTATATTAAAAAACAAACAAAAAAAGCCTTAACATGAATTACCTCAAAGTTCTTCACAGTTTCTGAGTCAACACTTCCTAAGTTCTGGATATCTTGCATGAAGGAGGCAAGTACTTCATCAGAACCAGGCATTAATGAGGACCTGGCATTCCCTGAGTAACCAGAAACTCCACTGGGATTGGGTGAGGGACTTCTCCTGAAACATGAGGAAAAACATTTCAATTATTTATTGCGCCAGATGTCCAACATGGTAGCCAAAACAAGAAATATATGCTTAGTTTACACTGTGACGCTCATCATGCTGAAAAAACATAGCTAGTACATTGAAAAGAATATTTTCCATCTGAGAAGTTACATGTGTATAAGTGACGTATAATTATTATCTTAACAGATCAGTTGGAAACTTCTCCTGAGCTGCAGCTTAGGCCATTAGTGCACATTTTCCTTTCTTGCTCATTGAGAAAAACAATCCAGTTTCTGAGTTACTCTTTTCTACAAATTACGTAACAAAGTATATGAGCTTTCCAAAGAACAGCCCCTTATTATCTTTCCAAGTAAGTATTTCTTTTTCCATTTCAAGAGATAATGGATGCTTTTAAGGAAGATAAGACACTTCTTTCAGTAAAACTTTTAACTTATTATTATGTTAAGTTGTACCTGCAACCATAAAGAAAACTAAAATATACTACAGAAGATTTCATCTCAGTAATAATGTTACTGTAAAAGTGTACTATATATGCAAAACAAAATGAATACAAATATTTTTAGGAATTCCTTCAGCACCTGGTGGAATTAAAGTTCAAGACAGAGTTGTGGGTGTTTCTGACATCAGTGTCTGCAGAAGCCGAAGGAATTTCTTGTACAGCATTCACCAAGTCACAGTTTTCCATATCTTATGTCCAAGTATGATGTTATCCTGCAAATATAAAGAAATATCACACTTCTAATTCAACAAGCGATTTGGATTTGCTGTTTGCAGAAACCAGACCTGATTAAAGAGATAGTTATTTCAGACAAGCCACCCTGAAAACACTAGCACTCCAAAACCAGCCTATTTTTCTTGTCTGTGCTATGCTTGCAAACACTTACTTAGGCAGCGTCGTACTTCCTGGGACGCCTACACATCAAAACGAGATTCCAGGCTGCCCATGACAGTTTGTCTGGCCTAAAATGTGTGTCTGAATCCAAAACATACCAGGCAGAGCAGTGGTTCTTTATCTGGGGCTCCACAGGCTGTTTTATATGACTTCCACGAAACACAACTAAAAAAAGGGGCATTGGTGATATATTCAAATTTGCTGGGTCTTTTTAATTGTGCTTTTGTTTTGGTTTGTTTTTTTTTTTTTTGAGAAATACCAAGTTAGATTGCTGCCAACTAATTCTTCCAATATAGTTACTTGCTTGTATGATATTTCTTTTTTTTTTTTTTCCCCACAGAATACTTATTATTGCTGTTTAGCATTAATTCAAAAAGCATTAAATCTGTTTCAGGACAGATTCCTCATTAAATAACATTAAAATTTAGTCAAACTAAAATCCCACCACAGTTAAAACACAGGAGCTGGTTAATTACAAAAAGCCTAAATAAATAAATATATATATATATATATACAAGAACTGCAGTAAGTTCTTCAAGTCGTCAAAACACCAGTTTATAAAAAGAAATGCTGTAGGAGACTAAAATATGCTTGCAGTTTCCATACTTTCATTAAGGTAAACAGCAAAATATATCGATTAATCAAGTTTTCTGTACTGCTTATTTCAGCAAATTCCATGGCCTAGTTAATTTATCCTACCCTAATACTAAAGTAAAACCTTATGATCATTTAAAGGACAGAGAACAAAGAGACATCAGGTAGAGCTATCCTAGTGATCTGTGATGAGCATAAATCCCTGCTACCTTACAGCAAGCCAATAGCTTTGCTGCATGACCATCCCTCTTTACAGGGCATCCCTCTTTACAAGGACATGCCACTGATTCACACTTTCATTATTTGCAGTTACACAGCTCTTCGATATATATTTTGTACAGACAGTCTTGGAAGAATGAAAACTGATTTCCACTGGAAGCGAACTAATAGAGAAAGGCTTATTTTACCATTGAACTCAAATAAGATCCTGTAAAAGGCAAAATGTTTTCCAGATAATCACTCAGGCTGTCTCCTTTGAGCAGGACTAAAAAGACAAGAACTGGAAGGCATTTAGTGCAGATAAACATCATTTTGACAGATTTTTGGGGGGTAAATTGAAAGAAGAAAGTGTTTCTTCCTTTTCTCGTGGTCAGTAGTGTGGAAAATTTTAATGTTATGATGCCTCTAACCTGGCGGATAAGCAGAAGCATCAAGTGCCTTGGAAGGGGCTGGGGGGAACTGGTGGGGTGACATGAGTCCCCCCCAACACCCAGGATGAAATCACGGGCCTATCTCAGCAGCAGAGCAGCGGGTGGGACGTAGCTGTGACACGCACTCGTTTCATAACCTCATTAGAAGCCTGCTTGCAGCAAAAGGATATATTAAGAGAGCTGCAGCAGCCCCGGGGAAGAGCTGC